CTCAAACATATGTTAAAAATTAAATTATTAATTCAGGTAATTATCCATATTAATTTTTAATTAAAATTTTGTTGTATTTTTACATTACACAGGTTGAATTCAGAAAATACAAACGTATTTAATTATTATTCGTTTTATAATCCTAATCACATGGCGAAATAGAAATATAATATTTCCTTATTAGTACCGTAATTTATTACTTTTTATTATAAATACAAATTTTTTAAATAATGTGTTTAACAAATATTTATCTATGAGTGTACTATTCATTTATTATATAGATCCAACCATATATATTTACATAAATTAATCAAATTTATCTGGGAAAAGCAACAAGATATTTATTTCACCTTTATTTTCGAAAAAAAATTTTCACCTAAGCTTAAATTATGTAAATTAACAAATTAAGCAATGTATTGCAGATATATAAAACTTTATTGGTTAACTTACATTAAAATTTATTATACGAGACATATAAAAGCACATGGTTTGATTCTTTAGCTATAAAATAAATTGACTTTTGAGGAATTATAGTGTGTAACATTTACTATATTCTTATTAAAAAATAAGTTTCTAATTTAATATTTAAGTTTATATAAAGTGGCACATAAAAATTAATTTGCCTTACTTAATATAATTAAACAGTTTTTATTTTAATTTAAAAATTTATGTATAAATTAAAAAAAACAGCCTATAAAATCTGATCTGATATTGTTGATTAATTAACCGTTCAACTATAAAAAAAATATCACGTATTTTGCACTTACATACTAAATGTAATAAAGTATGTAATAAAGTATGTAATTAAATAATAATGTAATAAAAATAAGTAATAAAGTTTGATCAATAAACACAAGAGAGCAATTTTATTTTAATTTGTATTTTAATAGTGTTTACCAATTAGGATTAATTACAATTTTACATATTAGTAATTAAAAAGAAATAGATTTATTTAATTAAGTTAGAATTTAATTTACTTTCCTTTCAGTAATTTAACATTGTTACATTTTTTGTTTATTTTTTATTTACAAATATACTTCATTTTCTATAAATACTTTGGAGATAATACATATTTTCCTATCTATCTGGAAAGATATAAATGATATAAATGAATAGTTAAAAAAATGTTAAACACATGGTATAAATTGTGAACATTTATTGCTATTAAATATAATTGTGGTAAACAGTAAGAATTGTTTGATATTTTATTTGCAACAGTTATCGATGAATATGCTTTAAAAAATTGCAATCTTTATCTTTATACATTAATTAAAAACATTTAATATCACTTATAATGGAAATTATGATTGATTAGTGAAAAATAATGCAGAATATTACGTATTTTTACTCTTCGCATTCATCATATCACATTCATTATATTATAACTGTGATTATAATTATGACCATAAATACTTTATTGATCGTAGTAATATTAGATATTTTCCTTATCTATTGAAACATTTTATTGATGTTAATTCGGTAAGTTACCGATAGAAGTTATAATATATCATCCGTCGGTATCAAAAGCAAATGATACGTACGCCACTTCATGTATCCATATAAAACAAAATTTTACTTATCCGCATGCACAGATATATATTAATATAAGTATATACATAAGTTGTATGAAAGCTGCATAGCCGATCGTTTTAAATCTCATGTATTTCATAAGAAGTACATTAAGTAAAAAATTGAATTTAAAGTAATATTAAATAAATATCCGTAACAAAATTATTTTAAATTTACAAAGCGGATACCAAAATTTGTTCCAAATTATTTTATTTTCTAACTGAGAACAATTCAAATATTTATAGCGTTGAATTTGTAACAGATTCTCACCATTAATTACTATATTTCTAATAATAAAATCTTACAAGTAACTATTTTTTTAATATAATATTTTCTATGTTTTTGTAATATTCATATTTATCAGAATATACTGCATAAAGCAAATATTAAAATTGAAATTAAAAACAAAAAATTAATTTTAAATAAAAATTAACCTTATACAAATCACTTATATACAATTTATTTAAAAAAAATAGTGTAAGAGTATGAAATGGAATATTTGAACTATTTTTAGTGTTTAAATGGTTAAATATATTATTTTCTGGATTTGAATATACGAATGAAATATTCGAAGCAAATGCTTGAAATGCAGTTATTGATCTCACATATTGTAAATCACTAATTATTGATACTTTTCAATTGGAGATATGTATTTTTATCGTTCATTATCAATAATATACTTATTACTCTAAATCATTTAATTCATACGAAAATATTTAATTTAATTAATTAGGTACTTTTATTTTACTTTTATTTTAAGTTACAATTGTAGCTTAAGGTTGTAATAAGTATTTTAATAAATTTGTAAATGTAGTAGGTAAAAATAGATTGAAATTCTTAATAGGTAAATATAAATTTGAAGCTTCAATGCAATTTTTAATGATAATTATGATTCTACAATAAATTATTAATATAAAATTATTATCAATAATTATAACTTGAATGATTTTAAGGTATTGAACATAACACATAAATTTTGAATAAAAATTTATATCCTAGATTTATAAGAGTAAACTAATCAGCTAAATGTGCACCATAAAAAATATTTTACATTAAAACTATTACATATGTATCACTCATCGCTCCGATCGTGCATGTCTCATAATTAAAATAATGTTTAATTTCATATTTACAATGCACTATATGATAATGCTATTTCATTCTAATTATGGCAGTATCATAGGCTTCAATATATAGTTTTGTTTTATTAAATAATCATAAGAATAGATTTTGAAATTTTTTAATAATTTCATATTGAAGGCTTAATTACTACTACTAAGCATAATATATCACGTTTTATTAGAACAGACAATTGAAATTGAGTATTCCACGTGTTATAATAGCACTATTAGTATTTAAATAACAATTAATCAATTCGTCCTTAAAGTAATTTAGAAAAGTATAAAAACTCTATTATGAAAATAAGAAATTATATTACTAATTCAAGATCAAAAGTGCGCAGCCCATCACATTTTTATCTCATCGCCAAGAAATTTATACACTGCGTTTGAATCGAACATCGGAAGATGTTAAACAAACTAGGACAATTGGCAGTTCTAGTACACTATGGAGGCACAGCTAGACGAACAAATAATGATCGAATAGTGCTCATCAAGAGCTAATTGCGCAGAGATGAAATCACCGAATTCATTCAAAATACGATACGTACGTTAGATTAAAGATTTAGATATTTAATAAATAATAAATTATTTTGTAAGCAATGTGTTTAAAAGAATTATAGGAAAATATTGCTCATTTCTGCTTTATCGATGAAATTAGTTTTTACATTATCAGTACCGTTGATGCTCACAGTAAGAAAAAGTTTTTAAGCCCGAAACAATTACGGTTCATCCGTTAAACATAGCGATAGACGCCAATTAAATTTCCATAACATTTTTAAAACTTACGAATTAAATTGATAAATTTTTCATGTAAAAATATGTGGATGAAAAAAAAAATTGTGAGGAAATTTGTGTTGAGTAAGGGGAAAAGAGTGAAAGTAAGCCGGTGTGGTGCATCCGAGAGTTGTGACACACCGCAATGATAGCACGTGCGAGTTGAATTGCCTCAGTGTCGTCGATGGATAAAAGAAAAGTCGGCGCTAACGGAGGAAAAATTAATGCCACGAGTGTGCATGTGCCTCGCGCACCTCCCGCTACAATACAAACGTCCGTTAGTTTCTTCCGTTCTGGGTTTTCGTTGTGAACCGATTATCCCAATCACGACTTCCATCAGAGTTTTTCGATCGATAGTGACACCGACTGCGGAAACGCACGTTAATCCTTACGAAGGACTTATTGCGAGTCTCCCGTATTCTAGGGGTAAGCAATCGTTCGAGTGTCAGACGAATATAATGAAAACAGTGTTAAAACCTCCTCGCCGACTCATCCGTAACTTAAATTAAGCTTTGATCGTTTTATTAAAAAAAATAATAATGAAAAAAATAACCGTCCAATAAGGTTCTACAATGGAGCTTTAGAGACAAAAAGAAATTAAATGCTTTTTGGCCGAGCAAGGGACTCGAGTTGCCAACATCTAAATTTATACTCGAATAAAATCTACAAAATTTGGCGTAAATTTTTCAAGAGAGTCCTTTCCCTTTCCAAAGTAATTCACTAGACTATTTTTCATTAAAAAAGGTGCAATCTGTTAAAAGCGAACGAATAATTCTGAAAAAGAAATTGGCGAGTCAGCGAGTCAATATGTTGTGATGTCGATGTAAAGAAACGTACTATTACCATATATATATATATATATATATATATATATATATATATATATTGTTATATTGTTCTAGCTAATAATAATTTACTTTAATTTCTAAGTGAAATACTTTTTTCAATTGTTTTTGCAGCTTAATTTTTTATTATCATATCGTATATTGTGTGATAAACTAGCTGTCACCAATTAGAGTAAAAATAAAAGATGATACGTCATTTGTTTTGCAAATTTTTTATGTACTTCTGCTTGTCTCATACAAATCCGTTTATAAAGGGGGCTGCGACGTCATTATTTTATAAATAAAAACATTAATTACGTAGGTAAACGCGGCATTCTCAATGTGCACACAATGTATCGAATTATGTCAAACAATTGGCTGAATGTGATGCTTTATTAATTAAGTCATGAAAATTGCACGAAATATTTTATAAGCTTTCTTTTGAATTAAGGAGCGAATTAATAAAACATAATTCGAAAAACAGTTATAAATAGTTGAATAATAATTATAAAACTGCCGTGAAATACATCGTAAATATTTTCGGTAAAATATTCTTACATAAAAGATTGTAACCAGACGGTCTTTTAACAATAGCCTATGACTGTAGACGACATTTTTTGTTCATAAGGAGCTTCCACCTCTTCACTTATTGTTATTATTCAATCAGCGGCTCGGTTAAAAGCTGAAGTGGAGATAGCAAAGGTAAAGTGCTTCATAATAAATAACCGATAGTAAAGGTGAGAAATAAGAAGGCGGCCAAAGCATTGCGAAGCGCTTCGTTGATTCTGCGCTGATTAGTGGGTCTGCCTGCATTCCACTGATCGTGATGAACTGCCGCCTGTTTTTCACCTGCCAACAGACGTAACGATCAGAATAAAACATGTTAATGCAATTTTGTGGATAGTGGCGAGAGAGCTCTGGAGAATTTCATATATCGAGATTTTAAGTAAGAAAAATTGCTCAAGTCGGCCAAGAGAATTGAAAAGCAACGGATTACAAATTTAGAACGTTTTATACCATTATGTCTTTTTTATTATATTTTTTGTTACAATTGATTGACAAGTACATATTGAAAAATTCAGAATTACATACATTGCATAAAAAAAGTAGCAATATTGTTAACTAAAGATTTTCAAATTAATTCTATTACATTTGCAAATTTAACATGATTGTTTATATCTAGTAATATGCATCATTACATATTAAACTTATTAAAGTTCCGAACGATACTTTTTAAAATTAGACAACATAATTTCATTATGGATTCTTCCATCCGTACTAAATACGAGCTGTAACTCTAAATTTCATATTTTATTTAACTTAATAAGTACTTATCTTGAACTGATAATTCTCAAAATAATTAAATTATTGATACAAAATGCATTTATTACCTAACATCAATAGCGTAATAAGTTTTACACTAATTTGGAAATTGATTTATTCCCTTGGTCTATCAAAACTAATATTCTTTTAATGTCTTAATATGCAATTTCTCTCACTCACGTAAATAAAAAATTTATTTCAATCTGTAAAAATATTTACGACTTTTTCTTTATCTTTATATTTCCATTAGCGTTTCATTTAACTTACAATTTATTGTAATTATTTAAAACAAAAACAAAACAAAAACTAAAAAACGAATTTCTATTAATTCCTAAATTTGTATAATTTCTTAAAGTAATAGATTTACAGTGAATTATAATGAAGCATATAACTAATGAAATTTTATTACTATAATTATCGTCTAACGTCCCATAGAAAATACGTATAATAATTTTCTTTGTGATATTTTATAAAAAATTTAAACTGCAGAATATTCAGACGTATCGTAAACGTATGTATACTTTATTATTTTAACGCATTCTCACAAGTTTACTATATTCATAAAACAAAAAGATATTAGCAAACCTGATATATCCTTTATCCTTTATAATTCATAAAAAACATAGTTTGGTGCTTTTTCATATTTACTTGTTCGCTTCTTTTTACTCAGAAGGTCTGTTGTTATAATTTCAAGCATGCCAGACGCGTAAATGGTTCATCATAACATCTTTTACCTCGATACATATAAATTGAAGAAATATCGGTTCATACAAATTGAGCTACTTTTATTATGATTACATAGTGCACGTTTTAATACCAATATTTCATATAATAACAACCAGTAATTGATTTAATATGAATTATTTTATATCTCATGATTTTACCAAATACTTTCTTACGTTAATAAGAATAATTATTTCGAAATATTTAAATAAGTATTAACATTAATTATTTATATTCAATTGCACTTCTAATATTACTGACACAGATATTCGATAAACCAACAAGCAAAAAAAAAAAAACACAACTAGAGGTTACGAGTTAATATTTTAAATTAACTTTATAATGAAAAAAAACAATTCGTTGCAATGAAGAAATTAATTTTATTCTTTATGTAATATCAGTATCAATCTAGTTTTTAATGTGCTATTAATTTTCTATGGCTTTTTTCATATAAAACAAAAAATGTTTTATAATATATTATGTTGTAAAATTTAGTTGAAAGTTGAATGTATAATTCATTCAAGACATCTTTCAATACAAATTCTAGGTATTCAATCTAAATTGATTGCTGTTTCATTTACAAGAAAACACTGACCAATAAAGTTAAATAAATTTTATTAAAAAACAAAAAATAAGAAATAAAAAACCAATAAAGTTGAACATTTTTGTTAAATGTTAAAAATGTTTTTAATTATTATCATATAGTCAATATTTTACTATTTCAATACTACAAAACTGAATGTCTCAATATGAAATTGATTAGAAAATTATTAAAGTAATAAAATATTGATTTACTTTTGTAATGTTAAAAAAATTATAAACATCAAGTATGTAAAATAATTATCTCCAGTGAGTTAGTTTTAACTGTTTATCATTTTCTAGCATTTTCTATTTCTAAAAATTCATTATTCCAGATAATTAATTTTCATGTTTGTAATGGTATTCCAACCGTCTATTCATTGGCTAAAATCATCATCTACGCTTACTCGATTTAGTTAGAAATTCTTAGTACGATGTACATATGCTTCGCACTTCGGTTAATATGATTTACTTGATTGTTTAATTTATATTATTCAATACTTTCATTAATTTAAACATGATTTATATTTTGCTCTTATATGTTATCCGTTATCTTAGCTATTAGCCCGTATCTTTTATCTTATATGCATCAACTATATTATAAACTAAAACTTAAATAAATAATGTTTTTAAATTCGATTAAAAATTTGTATTTAAAATATTAAATATACTTTCGTGGATAAAAATTTTTACGAATATTTATTTAAAGAAAAAAAAATTAAAATAAAAAAATTAAATATTTAACAATCTGTACTAGTTGAATTTTACTTCAAAAATATTGATGAAAATGCACTAAATTATATTTTATCTCGATAAGATTACTGAAAGTTATTGACTAATCTTCTATTTATTCAATTTCAACACCATATGTTACTCATATATCTTAAGTAAAATTGTTGCTTTATTAAAATCGTCAAAGACTATTTAATTTGAAACATGTTGAGTTATTTAGTATTCAAGCATATACAGCATTGAATACATTTTTAAGGTAACCAACTTTATATTTTTATGGATATTCACGTTACATAATGTAGATAATTATTCATAAAGACGTCGAATTAGAATAACGCGACTGTTAATATAAAATTTATCCAGATATACCTTTATGAAAGAATTAACTATATTCAATTTATTAAATTTCTTATTAAAACTTCATAATTAAAATTTATTAAATGTTTAAATGCAAATTACTTTATTAAATAATTTATTAAATTTAATTCCTATCAATGTTAATTTATATTAATCCGAAATTTTATATTTTTTAAAACGATTAATTCTTGCGTACGAAGATTTAAATTATTCTTATGTCACTCGACACTACAATCAACGATTGTATTAAAGAACAATATTAAACTCGATTATTAATAAATAAATATTTCTTAATTATTGTAAATTCGTTAGAATTATATTACTTTTATTTTTATAAATGCACATATTGACTTAACGAAAGGAATAAGTTTGTATTAATATAATGTTAAATGGACAAAATAATCAGCAGCAATTATATGTTAATTATAAATATTTGACCTACAATGTAATTATTTACCATTGAGTATATGAATATTCACCAGCGTTGTACTAAACTGTCCAATGGTACAGCTAAACTGTCCGCTATCGCTCTTCTTTGCATGTTCAATTCGAATTCGTGATAATAATTCGTTGTCCGTCCTAAAATAAATGAATCATTTATAGTGTGATGAGTACATTCATTTCCTCTACTATATTAGTCACACTTCTTCGTCTATTCAAATGTCATTCTCTATCACATATATTTCATATTTTTTTCTCTTGTCCGTTTCATGTCCTTTCTTCAAGTATGTAAAATAAATTTATCTAATATTGACTCAGTTAATTTACACGCAAACAAAATAATTACTATGGTACTTATTTAAATACGATCAAATATAATATTAATATATATATATATATATATATATATATATATATATATTGTGATTAATGTATATAGATTGAAATAAAGCGAAATCAACTTAATGGCTAATAATGTATTAGATATTTAGGATAATCCGTTATTATGATTTAAATTTTAATTGTAAAATTATGCAAAATACATGTTTAATATTTATTATATCAATCGGTATTTAATAGCAAAAATATTTCTTCTTATTACATTTGTATATGTTCTTACAACTTTTTTGAATAAATTTTATAATACATACAATAAATATTAATTTTTAATAAATATTTAATAATATGGATTATTAAAGGAATATCTTGACTTTATAATTTTATATTTATTGTAAAACTTCCATAGTCACATAATTTTTCGTTAATTATTAATAATAAATTTACATAAAGTAATATAAATAATACAAATAATCTAAATTGTATGTAAGTAAAAATTTGGATTAGAAAAACAAGAGATTATCTCTCTTCGTAATTTCCTTTCTTTCAATCTTCTTTATAATATTATTTACCAAATATAGTAAATTGTCAAGAAAATGTCGGCTGGAGATTTGATTGATTCTTATGAAACATAATATTATGAATGCAAAACTATCGCAAATAGCAGACTTTTGATATAATTCCGTGAATATGACATTCATTCCCTCATATAGAGCATTCGAACACACCCATTGGTATGATAAACGTTGACGTGGTCCGGTAGTATTTCGTTATTTTTCCTCCATACCGGATGAGGTACCTTCGAGCCAGGCCGTGATGGTCGCGCAATGCATGTCAGCTCCATGATACTTCCGGTTTTGTAATACCGGTCGCGTAGCTCGTGATTAGCTTCATCCACGATTCGTATTTCAGGCGCTGATGAAAAAATTATAATAAATTTATTATATTTAAACACTACATGAGAAGGTAGTTAATTAACTAACAATTTGAAATGATTGCCCAAAACAAAATTCGAGGAATTAAAACATTATGTTTCTATTCGTAGTTTAATAATAATATTTGTTTTTGTAGCTTTTCACAAGTCATATTACCTATTAATATTTTCGTTAAATATTTAAATTGTTAAATTAATAATTTACTGAAGATTATATTTGAAAAATATTTATGAATTCAAATGCTCATAATTTTTTTAAATTACTGAACTTTTAAAACTCATGGAATAGGATTTAAATATAATATTAAATCAAATTCAACAATACAAAGAATATTCGTAGTTATATTCAAATTTAATTAATTCATCACTTTTTCTTTAGTATAGTCTACAGTATTAAGTTTTTCAAAATGTAAAAAAAATCTTTACATCATATAGTAACACATTGATATATGTCGTATATGATACATCGCTTAAATGAAATATTAATACATACTGTTACTCAAATAACATGTATTAAAATGTATTTTCAATTTAAAATAATTATTATAAATTTAGATTAAATATATGACAATGTTATAATAACTAATATTTTTATTAAAAATACGCTATAAAAAAAATAATTACGCATGCACTGAAAATTGACTTAATAAAAGCTTTATTAATCAATTATTTTTTCATTAATGTATCTAGTAATATAATTATTTTATTTCAGTATTATTTTATAGAAGTTTATGAATATTGCATAAAACAAGTTTCTATTAGTAGTTGTAATTAAAGAAAATTATTCAAAATATATTAAAAACTTCTAAATTATTAAAAAAATATATCATTACAAATATAGGTAGATGTGTAAGTATATATGAAACAATAAAGAAACAAAAATATTTATTTCATTTTTTATTACTCTATATTTGTTTCATCACGTCTACATTTTTTTGTTTACATTTAGTGGATTGTCATAGTACAGTCGAAGGACTTTGATTACGATACGAAAGTAGCATAAAATCAATATATTTTTTTCTCAATTTTCATTCAAGAAAAGTTGAAACATTTCCAATAAAAAGAATTATGTAATTTGCACTACATTGAATTTTTATTATTACATTTACGTTTTATTTTATTATCATCATAATTGAGCTTGAATTTTTGCAAAAATCTACTTGCTGTATTTATACTTATTGAATATTTTTTTAGTATTACGTAGTCATCGTAAATGGAGTTTCTTAAAGATAAGCCTAGAGAAGAAAAGAGAGGAAAGTATATTGATGTAGATAGAAATGGAAAAGCAGAGGAAGCTCGTAACGCAGTAGTTTATGTAAATGCTTGAAGAAATTAATTAAAATTGTTATGTTACTTTAGATCTATAGGAGATGTAGTATTAGATCATTACGTTGAACGTTCAAATGGGAATAAATGTATATGAAGAGGATAATTTACACGAATGCACTTATTTTTATAAATAATTTATTACAAATGTGACAAGAATATAAATTTATATTTATTTAATAATAGAATTACGTTAAATTAATTTTTAATTATTTATACAAAATCTTCCTGAAATTTCTAGTGTATTAAAAAATTGTCTGTAATTTATTGTAATTTTTAAGCATTGTTTAAAACATGCATTTTACATATACACATTTGATAGGAGAATATATAGTGACTTTATTGTAAATATACAGTATATTAAAAATTGCAATATATTTATGTTTATATTGTTAATATTGAAAAATATAACTTTTTAACACATTTGTGAAAAATTACATTTCTTCTGTTTATTAAAAAAATCCAAATCTTCAATCTTTGAACGCCAATTGTATGTTATTTTGCAAAGTATGAAGCTAAAATATACGGCAAAAACTTGTATTATGATATTTTCGCGACATTAAATTGTTCAGAATTAAACAATATATAATTTAAAAATTACATAATTTGATTTTTATCATTATATGTTTTACAATATTTTAATACGTCCTATAATTAATTATTACTTAAATCTGTGAAATTTATTATAATCATTGTCAACAATATATTTTGAAAAAAACTAAAAATATTATTACAATAAATTACATATGACTTACACGATTTTCAACGACCATGACATTCTACTTTTCTTTACTTTATATTCATATTTATCTATTTATTTTTATTTTGTACTCATTTTATAACAATGACATACTTATTACGTTATTTGATATTGAATATTCTTATCTATATTACAAACATTCCTTTTTCTATTAGTTACAAATATCTTTTTACTTAATCTACAAATAATAACAATAATTGGTATGTTCAAAGTATTAAGAGGCTTACAAAAATTGGAATATAAAATTGAGAAACTTTAAAGCATAAGTATAGTCCAAAATTATTAATACAACCCTAGTTTTCATTCTCCATATTATATGTAAATATTTAAATATTCGTCAAATACTTAGTAGAATTGTTGAAATTAGTATCTGTACGTTTGTCGTCTTACTTATTTTGAGTAAGAATACATCAAACCTCAAGCCTTTATATGCTTTAGATAGAAAATATAATATTACAGAAGAAATTTAACTTTTTAGAACCCTTTTACAAAATTTTCTTTGATCTACATGTAATTTTTTTTTTTTATTTCTTCTTCTCTCTTCTTTTTATATCTTTGAATTCTTCTCAAATTTGGAAACTGCTCTTTTGCTGCTACAAATGTAAAATATAGTGTGTAATTCATTAATCAAAAATCCACACACTCAAGTTAAATATAGTACGATATGTCCATTTTTAAATACACTAATTATCTGGTACAATTGTTACTAAAGCCGACATGAACAAATTCAATTTAAAAAAAGTAGAGATGTATGTTTTAAAAGGCTTTAATTAAATAAGCCGTCAATTTCTTCAGAAAGTTAATTTTCTTCAATAATTATACAATGAAATTATTATTATTTTTATTACATTGCATTGTTCTATTATAAAGTATGATTTAAAAAAAAAGTCCATTTACATATAATTATAAAATCTATATACCAATATAATTGTAATGCGTTCATTCGTATTTGTAAATTCCAAATAATCAATTTATATAAGCCTAATTACATTTAAATAGAATTTTTATATTTTTATAAAAAATATATTTATAATAAAATTAATTATAATTTATTTAATACAGATATCTAATAAATAATTAATTCGTGGTTATAAAGTACCAATATCGTAACAAGATCGTATCATTTTAATAATATGTAATGAATTTGTTTGAATTTAGAATGTCTAAAGCTTATTATTAGAAAGTATAATAATATTCATTGTAGTAAAAACTTTGATCACAACTTATTAATTAGAATTAAAGGGTAGAATAGATTTATGCACTAGTATTTTATTTTATACGGAGTGGCATTAAATATTTTAATAATAGTATGTAAATTCCATGAATTCCATCGATTGATCTATTCGAAAATTTATATAAAAATATTAAAAATACAGTAGTATTAGAATTAAAATGTGAAATAATATTCAAAAATATCGTAATGAAATTGTAATATATATTAATATGTATATATTATATTTATATATATATAAATATATATATTATATGTATATATATATATATATTTAATATATCAACATGTTAATATTCCATAACAAAATAATATTTTTATTGCGTTTATAAAATTACTAATATCATTGAATCATAAATGTTATTTATTATATATAATAATTATGAATAGAATAATTGCAAAACATTCAATTTCACATACATTTCTATTATTCAATAAAATACAGGAACTCTTTATCATCGACTTATTTAACTGGCATATATTAAATAAAAATTATATTAACCCAATTATAAAAATTTTCATTCAATTACTTACAATATATATATATATATATATATATATGCATATTTAAATATAGAGTTTCGAATAAAAAAAGGAAGAATATTATAATTAAAAACTTTAGCTTATTATTATTATAGAATTATGAAAATAATAATAAGTATTTCACATAAAATACTAAAAAAAAAGGTTTTTTTCATGAAATTTTTTTCTAATTATATATTAAAACTTCACTATTCATTATCATAGTATAAGTTATATAATTATGAAGTTATATGCAAGATTTCTATAAAAGCTAATCAATTTTCAAAACTTTTCTCATAAAAAAAAAACTGTTTTGATACTTTACACCTATATAAGTAGTATAAATTTAAATATTTCAAAATAATTATACAAATATTTATTTATTCAGTTTAATAATATGTATAAAAATATAACTATTTTTTCATTATACATAAATTTTACGAATTATTGTATGAGTTTATATAAATGCCACGAATAAATATGAATAAATGGGAGGCAAAAGTAATTTCTATAACAATGAACAAATGAGTAATTTTATCTAAAATTTATAATATTTTGAGTTTTTTCCCTATAATTAACTATTTCAAAATTATTAATATTATATTGTTATATTTATTGAACAACCATTAACAGATTTAACAATTTAAAATATTTAACATTAACAATATGAGTTATAATTATGAGTTATAATTATTCCTGGGAAAGCTTATATATTTTCTATAGCCTGTTATATATTATCATCTTCTATTACTTAGACTAGAATTTTATTTTCGAATGAATTACAAGTTTACTTAAAACAAAAAGTTCTGAAAAAGTTGTGCTATTAATGTAACTTAAACCATACATAAACTATTCATAAACTTTGACATTTTATTCAATGAGCGTACTTTGTTCTTAAGCATTAATTCGTATAAAGTTTAGTGTTATAATTATTTAATTTAATATTTACATACTCTTTATTAATTAATTGCAAATTAATCTTTTTATTTTTATTACGTTGTTGTTCGTGTTTTAATAAATTGACAGTTTATAATATATAATTATTTAAAAAGTCATAAACTATAAATTTAATTGGTAACATTGATATTACGCATATAAATGTGTCATGAAAAATATTGAAAAAATTAATAAAATAATAGATAAATCCGCCTAAAAAATATTATAAAATTTGATTATCCATTAGTAAAAAGTATTTAAATATTTTAAAATAGTGGTTGTTATCTTAACATTTAAATATATATTTAGTGAATGATTGAAATACAATAATATTATATATAAAATACTCTATATAATATTGTATATATAAAATACTTGAAATTTTAACGATACAATTAAAATAAATAGATATTATATTTGAGCATAAAGTCATTGATTCCAAGTCAGCTTGGAATCGTATTTAAACGGAGCCATGAAATTTTATTAATCATTTTAATGCATTTAGGTTCCAACAATTGAAATTAATGTTTCCTAAGGTCATTAAATATTGGAAATTATTAGCATATAAAACATGTCGATCCAATTTACCTAGAATGGTGACGTTAGTTATGAGCATCTTCGGTGGATGCGTATTCACTTGGCAGACATACAAGCCTCCGTCTTCTTTTTGAATTGCAGAGATGGCCAGTCGCCAGTTGTTCGGGTATTTAAATTTCACTGAATATCGAGGATCACTTGTGTGCGTATTCTTGCCTACAGTGAGCAGTGCTTTATCAGGACTCTGTCGAAGCCACATGACCTATGCGATGGAACAGCGTATTATTAGAACGAAAGATTTCAGTACCCAATTACGTATTGATGAAAACGACAAAATCATATCTTTGACGAATGGGATATTCAAATATTAACGGAGATTATAGCGTGTTAATTTTGTGATACTCTTCCTAACACTCGCCGTTAATTCGCTTATCATTTTTTATTCATAGTTGTCGAGAGCTTTTATATACAAAAAAAAAAAAAGTATATTTCATTGGAGATTAAGCAACCCGTTGACATACAAAAATTCTACATTCTCGAGCTCAAAGTTTTTTAATTTCTTACTTAATGTAATATTTTAAGTATTTAGAATTAATTTCCAAAGTAATAGTAAATACTAAATTCGAAGCTGTAAAATATCAAAAGAACGTGTATCGACATAATGATATAATTATAATTATGTTTAGAAGTGAATAGTATTGTATGAAATTGAAAAGATCCTTTAACTTGTTGTAATGTAACTTGTTGAAACATTGAAGTAAAAGTACCAGGTATAAAAAATTATCTAATTCTCAGTTTACTGTATTAAAGAATAAATGTTTCATTATAAGCAGAGCATGAAATAATTATAAAATATAATTAAATGTAGATTATGATGAAAAAAAATATGTAAGTCATTTTTTTAATGTATTAAGATGGGCCGCCGTTCTATATAAAATTTTATACATAATTTAAGATCATTTTCATTATATGAATCTCGTAAGTATCTAATTCCAAATTCATATACGGTTTTTCATTTTTATTTCTTACTTTCATTTTTATTAAAAAGTTCTAAAAATTTAACATATTTTAAATATTCTGCAGTGACGTCCTGTGATAAAATTAATTAATAAAAAATCAATTTTATTAATTAATTTATTAATTTAAAAATATTTTCAATATTTTTAAAAGCAATTTTAAACAATTAAATAATATAATAATTAAATTCTTACATAATTTATGTATAAGAATATTTATCACGTGTGAAAATAAAGCGATAAAAAACGATGTTGCAGAATATTATAAATTGGGATGTATTAAATTTATGTTGAATATATTGATAAATATTTTAGAAATAAAGTAATTGTGAATAATGCTTTACTTGCAAAAAATTATATGACACGGATACCGAGATCCTGAGAATTAATTAATATTTATAATAATATATATAATATATAATGTATAATATGTTTAAATAAAATTCAATTAGAATATTAATTAAAGGGTGTATGTAAAATAGAATCATTGAGGAATTTTGATTAATATATTATTAATATTAATTAATCAATTTTTCATAATGACTAATTTTCATTTTAGTAAATTTCTATATTATATACAAAAGTATAATAATGAGTAATGATATTATCCAGTTTTTGTCATTAATATTGCTTTATTAGTTAGAGAAAGATAATAAACCTTATCATGCTTAGACATTTAAATTATTATTGATATTAACTGTTTTGATTATTTTTACAGATAAATATTATCTATAATTCACTTTAATACTTCATGTATACATATTATTAGTATTATTAATTGATGCTATTTCAAAATTTATAAAATTAGCAAATTGTAATTATTATGCAATATTTAAAATTATGGGTATCAAAGGAAAACATAATTAAATTTTCCTTGATCAAATATTTATATTTATTTATAAATATGATTATAGATGGGTTTATGTATTAATAAAGGATGGTTTGTCGATTGCATATAATTAATTAATCTGTATAATAATAAATAATAAAATCTAAATGATTAATATCTAATTATCAAATAAAATGATATTCTTATAGCTCATTAAATAAATTAAACATAAAAGTATATGAAATGGTTTTATAAACTATTAATTTAAATTCAATCTAAAACTAACACTTAAAATGATTATAACTCAATTTCAATAAGTCAGCATACTTTAATTATTCATAGGAAAAACTGCAATCAGTTGTTAAAATTATGAAAATTTAAAAACTTCTTTTTAAAATAGTATAAAAAAAAATAATAATATTGCCATAAGAATAAAAATTAAATTATTTTTTAACTTAGCACATTCAACTGCTCAACAACTTGTAAGTGTAAATAGTCTATGAAAAAATTCACACATAATTCTAAAAAAAAACGTTCGTTCTCATTAATAATCGACGAATAATGTAAGTTATGTAAATACAAATTTCACAAAGAGATATGTGCAATAAATGTACTCCCAATTACTTCTGAAGCAATTTTCTAACATCGATCTGAGTATTAGCATATTAAAACTACTGATCAGCGAATAAGCATAATTACCATTTTACCAGACAACATCACGACTCGGCAGTCGAGAAGTGCGGTATCGCCCAGATGTGCCATGTTATTGGAACCATTGATTTCCTGACCTTCGGCATTTTCAAAATAAGGTCCTCTGTGTGCAACATGATGGTGCCTCAGTCGGGGAACTTTCAAAGGATTGGAGCCCGTGAAGTCATGTTGAATACGCTGTTCGTGTCTGATTTTGATGTGTTCTAGAACACGGCAAAGGTTAATTTATTATTGCAATGCAATTTTGATCGTAACAAGAATTCGTACAGCCAATAATTATGAAACTGTATAAAATATATTTTTGCCATAAATTTGACGATGGAAAATAAGATTTTTCAGGTTCCTGACCCGCATGCAAATTATACAGTCACAAGTCGAAGGCGAAACAATGAGCAAGAATAAGAGAGAAAATACTGAAAGGAGAGACGACAATCAGAGAGAGAGAGAGAGAGAGAGAGAGACAGAGAGATAGAGAGAGAGATAGAGAGAGAGAGAGAGAGAGAGAGTAGATAATGAGTGGAAGAGAGCTATGACATTAGCTCGTAAAAGTGTTATAGAAGAAAGCTAATCCTATGCTCTCCGAAAAGTTAGTGTCCTCTCGTAACTTATTATCTTCAAAATAATTTTCAGCTATTCTTCAAAGAGGGTAGGAGTCGCAGCACTTTCTGGAGAAAAGTCTACCGAGTTTTGAATGTAGAAAACAACACCCAGGGAGAAATTCTGGAAGTTATTCTGAACACTCATGGAAGAAAAGGCTCCAAAGAAGCAAATAGTTTTGAAAACGTCAGCCATGGAACTTGGATATTCATTCGCTATAATTCTTGATCCAAAAAAGAGTTGATCTAAAAAAAATCACTTATTAGATGTCTTTTTCAATCTTGTTGTTTGTTTAAAATTTGGTTAAAAATTAATTAAGCTTCGATTATGATTAATTATATAATAATAAATTATGTAATCGATATGATAATTTTTTGTGTCATAGGAATCGTGATTATTAAATTTCCGATCATTTAGATGTAATTTAATTAGTTACCATTTCATTATGACGAGAGGAAAGATCTAAAAGAAAAAGTATCAATTTCGTTTCATTATGTAACTTCAATTTTGAATTATTGAGAATTCTTTACATTTTTTTTAATCTCGTGTAAGCCATTTAAGTTGTTTAGAAAAGCAGAATATGTTCTCATAATATTTTTCATAAGTCGATATAATGTTGAGCTTCTGAATTTATAAAATGCTTATTAAGAATTTATAGCACGTTTAAAGAGAAAGTAAAAGAGATTATTATGCATTATATCTTACAGGGTTTCATTTGGAATATTTTAACATAGAATTTTAATAAATATAATTGATATAAGTAAGATATAAAAGATATGAATAAAGTATTATTGACATATTTAATATAAAAAACAAACAAAAAAAAAACGTTAAGTATATATTTGAAAGATATAATTTTTCCTATGAATTATAGTCGGTTTCGCTTTACTCGAAGTATTCAAATTATGATTGATATTGATTTACATTCAATACAACTATTGCAATTAAAATTAAAAATTTAAACTTATTATTTTTTATTTTAATTTAATTTTCACACTCCATTTCACATTACTTTTAGTATTATTGAACGGAAACTTGTAACCATCTTTTACGGAACATGAAAAAGAAAATAATCTTAAATACTCGGAAAAACAAATGTAATTTCACATTAAACGTCGAATATTTCTAAATTTTTATAAATTTTTTAAAACCTAAAAACATCAAGTTGATTTTAGTACAACACAATCAATATAGTTTAAATTATTTCCTATTTAGTTTGATAATTATTAATTTGAATAATTTTTAGACGATTTCCCAATGTATTTTAATTTTCATCCCCACGACTCGCAATTCCTTTGTTAGAACGTACAATTTAAGTTCCAATCGATAATACATTCTTAATACAAATATTTTATTGAAATTAATAAAATAATTATAAAATTATTTCAAATATTAAAACATACGCTTAACGAAATATCTGAAAGTTAACTTTTTATATTTTAATACTGTTAATGTTCGTACAATTATTGAACAATCTTGAACTCTATTAAATTATAATTACTATACTTAAATGACGTTAATAATAGAAAGCTGAGAAAATAATAAAAAATGATTTATTATTATTATTATTATTATTATTATTATTATTATTATTATTATTATTATTATTATTATTATTATTATTATTACCGTATTGTTATAATCACTCTATGGACATTTCGCAATAACATTTATCCATTTAGTTGTTGTAATTTGAATTGGAAAAAGAACAATTTTATCAGATTACGATTTAATACGTAATCCATTGAAATTCAATAACCATGTGATTTCAAATTAATTTACAGAATTACCGACATTTGCTGTAAAATGTGTCAGCTACATTCAGGCGCACTTTGCGCCTCTTACAGCAGCAGAGAGTAAATTCGAATCGCACAAAGATGCTGCGCTTAATCACGGGAGACCGAGCGCCAATGTGCGTGAAAAGTCAAGGCCTCTGACCATATAAGGCGGTCACCATCGAATTGTCGGACGTGTTTTGATGGAGAATGATTTCCGTGATGTCATCAAAGACACTGCGGTGCATTCCAGATAGAAGTTCGCGTGGCTTTTACTTTGACGTCTATTGCTTTGACGAAACGAGATACGGCCAATGGCTGTATTCTTTGTTACATTCCCAACATATTTCATTCTAACCGCGTACTTCTGGCAATTTATCTCGCACGTATGGGATTTCTACACGATGTGGCTTAATACGTATATTAGAATTCTGTTATCGGACGATGTTTTTCATTGCAGCGTGGCAAACGAATGGCGTTAGTAAACGCGCCATTCTGGTCTCCTTACTAAACTGATCTCCCGATCCCAAGTGTATTGTATTTTATCCCATGTGTATTGTATGATATTTTTAAAATTCTTTTTCTGTGTGATTTACGAAACTATTCGTTATTCCGGCCACTCCTTATGATGTAGGGATTTTTCGCGTTCAGATTTAATTAATAAACGAAACTTATAAGAAATTTTCGATTATGCTTGAGTTTAAACTATTGATTATATAATATCATTATATTTTATATTCCACGTCTTTAAGCGTTAAATATTAAAAATATTCGATTTTACGGCGGATAAGGTATGTTAAATACTTTAATAAAGTAATGTATTCTACTGTATGATCAATATTAGAATATATAAAAATAATTCATGACATCTATTTATTTTGTTTTTTATAATATATTACGTTAATATTTGTTCTGTATTCTTTCGCCAAAATAGTAAATTGAGTGATTAAATCATCGTTTTTATAAGCGGATTAATCATATCTACACGATAAAAAGTTTAAGTACAGCGTCAAAAAATAAAAAAAATAAATAAATATGTTACCAAATGTTTGCTTAGTTCATCCAGAAGCGGAAGGAAAAAGCAATTTTTACATTATATATAACAATTTCATATTGTTATACAAAGATATTTTAGATTTCGTTGTCATTAGTTGAATAAGATCATTGAAATATCTCTGAAAAATATTATAAAATAAAAAATATAATTAATATTATTAAATTAATTAATATTAATTAAATATTATTAAATAAAAAAATTTATTATTTATATATCCGACAGAATAATAATAGAAAATTGTTGTTGTATGGGAAAGGTTACCATTAATAAATAAAGATGATCTTCATAATTGAATAAATTAACAACATCAACTTTATAACTATTATTTTATTTATTTTATATAGGTATGAATGTATTAAAATAGATTTAATAAATACTTACAGTCCATTATGTTATAATATTATAACGATATAATCTTTTTAAGATAACGGTTACATTAAATTATGAATACAATAATACTTTCGTCAATGCAAATTGGAAAAAAAGACATTAATGTAATAATATTATTTAATATTAATGAATTTTACAATTTTTTATTTGATTTCAAAAGTCTGGCTTCTGGAAATCGAAACTGTAAAAATTAAGCAGCTTTCATCAAATAGTTCTCATTTTTTTCATTAAAGATAATTATAATTAACCAGTTAAGAAGATAATCTCATTTTCCTTTTAAAGGATCACTAAAATCCTTGGCCATTGCAGAAATAAGATCAACTATTTAAGACTTACATAAAAGAATAGTTTTTCACTGTTACTGAGAAAACTGCGGTATTTCTAATCTCAATAATCTGTTATCGTGCAAGAAGTTTAAAGCGTAACATATATAGTGTGTTACTGTAAAATTTAATAAATATTATTTTAAGCAATAATCTACCGATAGAATAATGTTGTAAATGAAAATAAACAATGCAAGAATTAAAATCTGATGTAATAATTAATTTGACAAGCGTTACTAACAAAATCAAAATTAAATAATTTTTCGGAAATAATTATAATCGAGAAGTATTAATTTTAATCGACAAATATTGAGATAAAGTGAGAGAAATAAATTGAGAAAGTATAATATGATTAAGACATATATAATATTTTTAAAGAGGATAAACAGTCATGATTTCTTTATCAAATAATGAAATTAAGTTCGAAAGTAGATATTAATTTAATTATTAAGAATGAAAGGTGTATAATAATTATCTGAAATGTAGTAAACAAATTTAGATTCATCCAGTAAACATAATTAATTTCAGAAGTATTAAAGTGTACAGTTACAGTCGAAGTAAGATTATAAGAATTATCTGTAAAGTAAAATCTATCGCTTATTATATAATTTACTATTTTTTAATTTAATGTTATTCGATAATAACAACTAAGACAACCCAACTGTGGGTTTTAAATAAAATGCTATATGTAGATTTATAACAAAGTAGACTGATTATTGTGAAATATTTGACTTCTTTCTACAGAATTCTTTTAAATGCGCAAAATACCTTTAAATTGAACTGTCTAACACATCTCTTTTTCAAGCCCATGAAGGTGAGTGGCGTAAGTATTAGAGCCGCAGAAATCGCGATTCTCATGTTCGAGCGCTATTTCCGTACTTTATGGAGTGGGCAAAAGCTTGAGGTTTCCTCGGATGAGGATAACCTCATACAATCAGGAGAGAAACTTGTTAATGTGCACCTATTGAAGAATAAAAGAGAGTATAGATAAATAAGGTTACAGAAATCAAAAACATTTTTTCGGGACAAATATTGAACTGTAATTCCACCCAAGTATTTCA